GCAAATTATTTACCAATCAAACAAAAGGCTTCTGGATGAACAGCTCCGAAGGAAGGGAATAAATTTGACACTTCCGATGTTTTTTTTTTCTTTTCGGGCCATCGTACTGGGCTTTAGCCACAGGAGCGTTTGCAAGGCCATATGCGATTTCCTACGTGGGATGGAACGAATTGAATGGTAAGGTTATTGAAATCGAGAATATTCTTCAAAAACAATATTCTTTTTGTGTGTGTGTGTCGTGCGGAAACACCAGCCAAGTGGGTCGAAACTAACGTACTCGGTGGGTTAGTTTCGGTCTCTTGGGCACTGCATTTTGGAAATTTGACGATGAATCTCTGAAACCACTCGTGATATTGTCACGGGCTCGTGACGTGAACGAAGGGAGCAGACTCCAGGTCGAAGAAGTGACTGTGTATTCGGGCCGAACTTGTGGTCACGCAAAAGGAAAGTTAGGCACTGGCCCTGATAGCGGCGAACAGAGCGTCGGTCGTCGATCAACGGACAAGCGGCGAATCGTGTCGGCATTTATACACTTGCCATCGAATACTCTAGCGTTATCGCTAGCGGCGACGTAGGTTCTCGAATAATCTGCGACGATCCCGAAATGGGCGTAATCTTAACAAAACGATCTACTCGAAGCTTCTCGAACATCGTAGGCACGGTTTGCGCTGAACGTAGTGTAACGGCGTGATAACAAAACTTGAGGAAAGGAATGTGGCAAAATTTTCGATTTTTCAAAACCAGGCTAGCCAATGTTTGTGACATACGACGACTTAGCCATGTAAACAACCACCCTAAAATTAATAGTAAAAAGGTAATTCAATTATCTTTAGAAATTATTGATTCCTAAGTGATCTAATTAGTGACAAAATACATCCGTATAGGCCTTGAAATTAGCTTCAAAGAAGACAAGTGGCCACGGATTATAGTTCTTAAGGAAAAATCTGCATCGCTTTAAAAAAACACCCTGTATACAGTGCAGTGGGCACTTCGACAACGTACCTGCAGTGCTCATACTAGGATAGTTTGGCGTGCCCAACGCACTCACAGACACTCCTTTTCTTGCGAAACGATTGAGGTGCCCACTGACAAGCGAAGCTAGGCGACCGACTTGGAAGGCGACGCGATAGGGGCCCGATTACGCTATCTCATCTTACTTCGGAAGGCGAAGCTCAAGTGTGATTCTGTTTTTTTTTTTCATATACTGTGCAGACACCATAGGATAAACATGCTACGAGGCACTTCATCGTCACTTGAAGTCGGGAGAAAGCGGATGCCGCATGGTGTCAGCGGTAACTTGTTTCTAAGGATACGTCACTGAACTTCTCACAAAAGCAATGCTTGCAAGTCAGTTTTGCGGAGACTTGTAAGGTGTCGGAAAGGTCTTTCCTTTTTTTTTTGCCACCTTGCGGGTTTCCGTGGACCTCATTTGCATCACTTCTTTCCATGTTCTTTGAGTTGCCAATGAATTCACCCTCGCGCTGCTCATTGCTAGCTTCCTCGTTAGTTCAATTGGTAGAGGCAACACCCCGTAAAGGCGTTCGTCCCGTATCCAATCCACAGACCAGGACGAACTTTTCGGCAACAAAGAAGATTTTCTTTCTTTGATAATCGTAGGAATTTCCTAGTGGCTTCGTGTCACAAACGGTTTGTTGTCCCCTTTCTTTATATAAGAACTATGTTTTGGGTAGTTTTTTTAACTAGTTCTACACTTCGTGAAACAGCCATAAAACGTTTCGAGCGTACGTCTTGGTCGGCCGGGACCAATAGTAAGCACTAGCGGCCTTTCTCCACCAAGCAACAGCACCTTCGCCAAAAACCAGCATCTTCTTTGCCGACTGCGGGTCCCTAAATGTTACCGCACAAACATGGTTCACCTGGAGCAACCTTAAATGGCAAACCTTAGACAGCATTCACGGACGAGCCATAGTGTCCGTGAAACCTCGGTATGGAAGAACTTTGAGTTTACGCCCCCGTGAAAGCAACCAGTATTTAAAACACACGGTCATATCGGCACTTGCAGGACAACATCAAAATTGTCATCCCTATCAGCGTTCATCTTAACGGGCTGGACTGAGCCGAAATTTTAGCTTAAACGGAGACATTCTACGTTCACGGGGAACGGTAGCGAAACGTATAATGGTGGGCAGCCTTCCGGTCGCAGTTCGGTATTCAAGATGTGGGTTCGGGATACCGGTACAACTGGCTTTTGAGTTTTTCGGTTGAGAGAAACAAAGTAGTACGTGAAGTGCATCTGCTGAATCAGGTTTGTGGCCACGTCACGGTGGCGGAACTATATATGTACGCTAAGCGCTGCGCTCAGGTCACAGTCTAGTTGTCATTTAATGGATTCGAATCCCACATCTTACAGTTCGTTTTCTCTCAATGCAGTGCGGAAAGAAGGTAGTACTGACACTCTTCTTCACGTGGGGCGCATTATCCCGTAATGATAATCGAGTGGTGATCAATAAAACTTGTTCAGTTAATTAGAACTCCACTGCAATCCTTCACCACCTAATACCTAACCTATGCATATTCACATTAAACTCCTTGTTATTGTTCTTCAAATGTAGCCGAACTGAACCCCTTCCCAACAATGCATAAATACGTGACATATGTGGTTAATTTTATATGAAACCATACGATTTCCTGATAGAATAGAGCTCCGTTATTTCATGAATGTGTTCCTTCAACATTGAAAAGTAGCAATCTTTTCCCGTAGCTATTGTGTCCCGGCCTTCCGCTGTGTCTGGCTCCAGGCAGAACAGTTGGCAAACGGCGTCACAAAATTCCTATAAAATACCTTTCAGCAACGGCAGCGATTGACCCGGAAGGTAACTCAACCGATAAAAAAACGCTGCATTTGTGTTTTCATTGTCATCCACTGTCCCCTGAGCGCTATCGGTGCAGACAGCTAGCGTCAGCAAAGCGTCCCATAAACCAAGTTGTCGTACTGTGCGCAGAAAAAGGACACTGACCTCATAAGAAAACACATATCTATTTTGACGAGATGTCCCCCGAAAAGAGGCTATAAGCATATAGAATATCATGCTTTTTTTCATTAGAACATGACATTTTGTTTACATCTTTGATCATCGAGCCTCACATAATAGACACCATGCACACTCAGTGCAACCTTTGCAGGTCCGTTCGGAAACAATGCAACATGTCTGTCACAACTTCTTGATAAGAAACATGCTGCACACAGCCGGCATAACTTCAACTGTCTGAGTGGCAACATTTATTGTCTACCAATTTTTTTGTTTATTTAGCCCGATCTGTATAATACTCCTCACCAGACCGGGTCAAGGCTCGCTGCAACCGCCAGTGTGGCCCTGAACGAAGGTCTCCATCCACACTAACAAAAGAACCTTAATTAATTGAAGTTGTTTATCGATCTTCAATATTGCTCACCAGTTACATAATTCTCAAATATAGCACATACCTGTCTGGTCGACGTTTATTTCAGGTTCATGGCGGCAAAATTATTCTGTAGGCTGAAGACCACATTGCGTGTGCAACAGAGCGAGTGACAATATGGCGGACACGTGTTCCTGGATACTATAGTGCCACAACGACGCCACGCCAGCCGTGATTTCGCTTTCGAGAAAGCATGTCTGGTTTCACTGAAAATCAGCAACCGCAGGAGTGCGCAACTCTGTGGCTCTCGATCGAGGAACCGCAGACAGCGCTGAAGAGATGAAAAACTCTTGAACACCTGCGGCGGCACTCACCCGGCTACGCTGCCGCAAATGCTGTGCGAGTGCCCGGCACAGTACAGACACACTAACGCCACGACCCTTTCGTCGAAGCTCCGTGAGGCTCTGCGGATCCTCGCTCTTGACGACCAAACATGGGCGACCCAGCACGCCCGTGAGGTGGCGTCGAGGCAAGCCCATGACGTTTCCCTCATGGGAGGCCTAGGCCCGGCCACCTAAACCTGCTGGTATCTTATAATAAAGTCTATGCCTCCTCCTCCCGTGTGACGTTGAAGCCGAAGTAACGACAGGCGGCGTAACGAAAGGCCATTTCGTAACAGCGACTGCTTTTGTTTTCTTATAGACTTTACAAGCAACCTTCATTATGGTTTAACACAGCGCAGGTTACAGTACAGAGGGCAAATACTATACAGAGCAAAGTGATCATGGATTGTAAAAAAAGGTTCACTCACGTCATAATTACTCCAAAATTGACGGTGTAATTGCGCCAGTTGTTACTTAAGATTCTTGGAAGAGCGCCTGAGTCGCCATTCATTAATTTTTTTTCAATGGTATAGTTTAAAGATCTAATTTTATTTTATATTTATTTGGGACACACTACATTCATTCAAGACCAGGCAGCTAAGAAAAATAAAGACATCGACAGCTACCATCTGTCAAGAACCAATAATGACAGCTTAAGCTGACGGCCTATGCCATATTTTGTGCTGCTTACGTTCGCCGTGGGGGGAGTGGTTACGACGCTCAGGGGCTTACCTGAATAACCAATTGTATCGGGCCAGTTGGTAATGATCCATCTTGCTAGGAAGCGCAGCCACTAGCTACTACAAAGAACACACAACACAAGCGCTTGTGTTGTGTGTTCTTTGTAATAGTGGCTGCGCTTCCTAGCAAGAAGGATCCTTACCTGAATGTCTCGCGGTCGATTCTGGCCGTGGCGGTTGCATTTCGGTTGTGGCCCGTGTATACTTTGCAATGTCAGTGCACCTTGAAGAACACCAGGCGGTCAAGTTTTCCGGAGCGGCCCACTATGCGACGTCTCTCGCAGTGACTTTAATGGTTTCGCAACGTTAAACCCCTACAATTATTATTATGTGCTGTTAACGGGACCCTCAACAACTTCTCGAAATACAAGGAATGAACGCGTTACTATCCCTCGACGTTTCCCGTCTTGTGGGCACAAGGCATGACTCCAGAAGTCTTTTTCACGTGAACTAATGGAGAAATAAGCTCCCGATTGGTGCAAATAAAAGGAAACAAAAGCTGCGAATCTATTCCTACCTTGCCTCTCCACGCAGTCGCACGCCCATTATGCCTTGAATCGCACACTGCAGCCTATGAGGCGTCGTCAACTGATTCCACTTCGCTTTGCACGTTTCCGACTGCGCAAGCGCAGATAACGACGTCCAGGCGAAAAGCGTGTAATCCTGATAAGCTTAATGATTCGCGCTGACGTTTTCCACGTGTTTTATGGATGCACAAGCCGCAAGCAACGTACGCAACCCACAGGAATGGCAGCGAATATGATAATCGCCGTCCCGTCTTCCAACTCGGAATGGTGTAGGGGTCCTCGGAATGGTGTAGGAGAACGCACGAGGGTCAGACAAAGAAGCCGCCATGGTGGTCAAGTGGTTAAGGATTGTTATTAGAGATTGATATGTGGGGTTTAACGTCCCAAAACTCCCATATGACTATGAGAAACGCCGTAGTGGAGGGCTTCCGGAAATTTCGAACTACCTGGGGATTCTTTAACGTGCACCCAAATCTGAGCACACGGGCCTACAACATTTCCGCCTCCGTCGGAAATGCAGCCGCCGCAGCTGGGATTCGATCCCGCGACCTGCGGGTCAGCAGCTTAGTACCTTAGCCACTAGACCATCGCGGTGGAGCGATTGTTATTAGAGCTTAACGTCCTAAAGCCACCATATGAATATGGCAGGCAGGGTGGTGGAATGTTCCGGATATTTTGACCACCTGGCTTTTTTACCGTGCCCCTAATTCTAAGCACATGGGCCCCAATTTCCCATCTGGCCTTTTTTTTACCATGCTTCCATGATTCTAAGCACATGGGCCTCAAACACTTTCGCCTCCATTGAAACTGCGGCCAGCGTTCGATCTCGCGACCTGCGGGTCAGCATTCAAGAAGCATGGCAACTCGACTTCGGCTGTAATGGTTACATTTGGTCTAATGGTTATGCTTCTCGACTGCTGACGCACAGGCCGCGGCATCAAGTCGTGGTTGCAGTTTTGGTAAAGGCGAAAGTACTCAAGACCATGGTGCTTAGATTTAGGTGCACGCTAATCAACCCCAGATGGTCGAACTTAGCGAAGCCCTGCCCTATGGCGTCTCTCATAAACATGGTGGTTTGGGACGTTAAACCCAACAATTAATTAGGCAGTCAAAGACGCAAGCGTACTTTGCAGACTCACTAGTTGTGGTGCAAGCAGGTAGAAAGGCTGAGGCTTGTGGCACGGATGATGGCGCAGCCGGTCAGTACAGTTCCATAACATACCGCTTACCGATATGCCGACCACTTATCGTGCTGTTACCTTTACAATACTATCGAGATACGCCACTGCTGTAAAGCGGGCAAAGTGGGTGTGTTGAAGTGCATCAAGTGGGGACGAAAAGATTGCGTTATATTCGCCGCGAGCTGCATTGTGCATTTGGTGCTGACATAGTCAAATCTGTGTTACAAGTATTATCTATGCTCGGATGCGAGCACAGAACTCGAACGGCACTTTCGCCACATTTGTGTTTGTGTGCGCATCAAAATAGAAGCGCGCAAGCTTTCTCAAATTTGTTTCATTCCGTCAGAAAAGAAAGAATGAGAAGGGGGGGGGGGGGTAACTAAACGGAACTGAGACACTACCACGTTTCGCTTTTCGTATGCGTAAAGAAATTGCTTTTTTTTATCGCGTATTGCGATGCAGACGTGACTTAGCTACGCCATTTCAAACTGTACAGTTATTGTCGTGATGGGATGCGTCTATTGTTTTATTTACACTCTTTATTAAGAGGCGAACTTGTGTCCAAAGCTAGCGACGCACAGCAATTAAGGAGAACCGATGGTCGGTAGTTCTCACGAGCTTCTCTGTCTTGAGCACCCTCGTTTACTCTTGTTCACGCAGGTTGGTCGCTAGGTGGAATCTCGTGCCCATACAGCGCCGGCTCGTGCATTGCGGCTGGCTGCATCACTCGTAGTTGTGCCGTCGGGTGTTGCTCTTCGTTCACGTCGTCCCCGTTGTGCGGAGTATTGGTGATTACTCATGGCACTATAGCTACTGTCCAAGGTGCGGCTCGTTTTACAGCGAAAGCTGTTATGTCACCCCAAGAACCAATTGTGTTGGCGCAGTCTTCCCGCTGGCGTCTTTTTTTTCTTCTTCTTCTTCTTATGTGATTCTTAAAGGGAAAAGAAGAGAAAAGTGAGCCCCGTAACTGTCTGCATCAGAGTGAGACACCTCAACAGTACCTCACAAGGGATAGGTGTAAGGAGGGATTAAAAGGATGGGATTAAATGTATATATAGAGAGAGGAAGAGGATAGCGAGGCGCAGGGACAGCGAGCGACGGAAGTAAAGAGGAGATAGGAAAGATGGACCTGGCCGCAGGACTCCGAGGACTGGGCACTACTCAGCGAGAGCTCATGTCGGCGGCAGGAGATGGCGTAGGGCGAGCCCAGTCGGCCAGAGCTGCGCTGTCGTCGGAGATCGCAGGGGCAGAACGGTCGGCACGAAATCCAGAGAGCCACTTTCGCTCACAAGGAGAAAAGTGTGTAGGACTAAGCGGGATTCGAACACAGACCCTCTGCGTAGCGGTCGAGTATTTTACTACACAGCCTCACCCTTTTTTTAATTTTTATTTCTCAATTACCAGTTCACGCAGGTCCTCTAAATTCACTCGAGCCCGGCGGTTGGTCCACGCCAGAGTGTTCTTGGAATAAGGAACCCTTCCACCTTCACTCACATGCATTTGTGCAATAAATGTTCTCTCACTGTCTCTGTCGCAAGCAGTTATACAAAATAACTGGAACGGTCATAAAACAAACATTAACCCTTCTCAGGTCAATGCTTGACATTAAAAAAGGTTATAGCATATCAAAGTGTCCAATAGAGGATACCACATTGGTTTATTCATCATGTGCTCAATGCTTTCAGAAATGCAAAAAATGCTCTGATGTCTTCACGCCGAACTGCCGTTTATGTGTTCTAAATGCTGCGTAAGATCATCACCATAAGCATATCGCACGGCCCATCATCGTCATCGGTGCCTGGTACAAAGCGGATACCATATGCCAATATTGGCAACGCTTTTTTTTTTCTCTGTCAGGCTACGTTGTAGCACGTCTCACAGGAATAGTGCATCACAGCACTCAGAGAACACATGTTCGATCGTCACAGGCTTTCTGCATCTGATAGAATTTAACGACAATGGCAGAAAAACTCTTCTTTCTTTTAACCAAAGCTTCACAGGCAACCTAGAGCTCGTACTTTGTAGATGAAAGAGAGAGGTCTTATACCACGGACGTATTCGCATGCTCTTCACCCGTTTCAAAACATTTGCACTGTAGTTTTCACAGCGCACGGATTCACACTGACTTGGCTAAGGCAGCGTCTAGAACATCTTTGTACAGTTTTTTTTCCCCTTGCAGCATTGCTAGAGTATTTCTATCATAAATGGGCCTACAAAAACAGATAACACCATACCAGCTCAGGCAAAAACACAGGTTATTTTCAGTCTTGCCTAATGGCGTGAAGAAACGACCAATTTATCCGGGAGAGCATCACTGGGACTCAGTTAAGTTATTTTTATCAATAACGTTATTTCAATCAATAGAGTTATTTCAGTCAATCAATCACTGAGCCTCACTTTAACAATTGCATGCAGAAAGTTGCTTTTTTATCATGAAACCAGTTCCAAAATAATGGCCCAGACCGAGACCTCCTGCCTTCAGTGGTAGAAACGAAATTTGTAAGCCTCGTTGGCTCCCACATTGACGCCCAAATATAATCGACGAAAACTTTATGTAGCTTCTGGTTCTTCATTCTGGATATCCATAAAACTGCACGCATACTGCATACAAAGGTTTCTTCCTTTCGCCAGTTCTGATAATAAACGGCAGCTTATTTGCATGTCACAGGCCACTCTCAGTGATAGCGTGGGAAAACAAAGCAGAAGGCGCCAATTGGTGTTTATTTGTCCATCCTTGATTGATTGATTGATTGATTGATATGTGGGGTTTAACGTCCCAAAACCACCATATGATTATGAGAGACGCCGTAGTGGAGGACTTCGGAAATTTCGACCACCTGGGGTTCTTTAACGTGCACCCAAATCTGAGCACACGGGCCTACAACATTGCCACCTCCATCGGAAATGCAACCGCCGCAGCTGGGATTTGATCCCGCGACCTGCGGGTCAGCAGCCGAGTACCTTAGCCACTAGACCACCGCGGCGGGGCATTCTTCCATCCTCTCGTTTGTTGATCTGTGCATGCGCGTGAGTTATCATCGGTGTGTGCGTCGCAACACAACAAGCGGTACAATTTCAAGCTGTTATCTGAATGATGCATTATGGTGCGTTCGACGTGTCGTAAAAACAGCCGTGTGCAGGTAGTGACTATAGTAAGAGCTTCCGTTTGGGCTAGTTACTTGGTTTTGGCTTAAATACATAATATAGCTGAACACAACAAGGACGTAAGATCAAAGCTATGGTGTCGTCCTGTGTGACCTTCCGGTGTCTTTGTTTTGTTCTGCAATATATCACGTATTTATACGCCCTGCCGCGGTGGCCTATAGTGGCTATGGTACTCCGCTGCTGACCCGCAGGTCGCGGGATCGAATCTCGGCTGCGGCAGTTGCATTTCCAATGGAGGCGGAAATGCTGTAGGCCATTGTGCTCAGATTTGGGTGCTAGTTAAAGAACTCCAGGTGGTCTATATTTCGGAGCCCTCCACTACGATGTCTCTCATAATCATGTGGTGGTTTTTGGAATGGAAAACCCCAATATCAATCAATCAATCATCATGTATATATGCGTGACGCAAATGCACGGAAGAGCACTGCACTCTTCAGCTTACATTGAATCATGCTTTTCGAGTGTCTACTCAAAGAGGCGTTCGAGGCTATTCAACACGTGCTCGCATTCACGAGCATCTTCCAGGAACTATACAACTGCGCCACGTCCCAGAATACTAATTTCGAGGAGCGGGTGGTACCACAGAAGCTTTACTCACCATTTTTGCTGTTCCTTAAGTTGTTATCACTCCCGTCCGAGGAAGATGTTTAAACGAAGCAGTGCCAAGCACAAAAATTGGCGTCTCTTTCCCGGCAATTTGGTTATCGCCCTTGGGAGATAACA